ATTTTCTTCCCCTCACAAAAACAGAATCCTACTGGAAAAAAGTTTGGTAACTTGAAAAAATATCTTAACAATACATCTGAAATATCTTTCCATGTAAAAGTATATAGGTTCTGAGGATGGGAACAAAAGATGGTGGAGTAGGAAGGCAAGGTGAAAACCTCCTCCCCAAATCCTACAGAACATGAAAATACAGCAAATACAACTAGGCCTGAAGTCAACCTGAAGACTGTGGAACTGCCCACCTGCATCTGGGGAAGAAGAGAAGACCCTACAGAAAAGGGTAAAGTGACAAAGCTGTGATCTGGTGGGAACCAAAGCCCTCCCCCATCCCCAGCCCACAGGTTGGGGGAAGAAGAATGGAGCAAGGAAGGGCTCCCTGTAGGAGCCCAGGACCCTGAACACCTGGCCCTGGAGATCTGCTCTGGGAACAGGAGCCCACATTGCATGGTGCCCTGATGACTGGTGGGGCTGGAAAACAGAGACGGGCAGAACACTAGGGGAGGCTGAGATTCCAGCCACCTGTGGAGGACAGGCACACTCCACCAGCCCCTCAGAGAAAGAGAGCAGGGTGGACAGTTTGAAAGACTTCCCAGCAGTGAGAGGGGTGCCAGAGGGGCCAGGATTGCACAGGGCTCTCTGTTTAGGAGAAAGGTCAAGTGGACAATACCTCCCAAGCCTGCCCTCAGCCCAACAGGTTGGGAGCCCTCAGAAGCTACAGATGCCCCATGATCCTCGCTGGCAACACACCCCAGTCTCCTCACAGTGATGCATGGTCTGCCAGTTGGCCGTGAACTCAAACTTTACACCAAGGTAAGAAGGGGAAGAAACCCCAGCCTGTTCAGGCTATTTTGGTCCAGCCAGGAGCTGCATGCAAGAACCAGCCCCTGCAGCTCTTTCCTCCCAGCAGGTCCTGCTCACCAGGGCCCCTACCATTACAGCAGGTCTAGTGATGCCCTGCAGTCAGTGCACGTGGCAGCCTACCACCAGGAGCAATTTCCTCCTGGCAGGCACTGGTCCTGCACATCTGCACCCCCCACCACTGCGATGGGCCGGGCAGCAGCTCGAGAGAATAGTCTCAGTGCTCCTGTGTTCAGGTGACCGCCTGCAACAGCTGGGATTCCCACACAGGAAACTGACCTTCTGGGTACTAGAGGGCATCTCCTATACAAATCTATTATCCTATAGGAAACACCATAAAAGAAAAAGAAAATGAAGAGACAGAGGAATCTGGTCCAAACAAAAATTCAAGAAAAAAAAAGCCAGAAAGAGGGCTTAGTGAAACTGAAATCACCAATCTCCCTGATAAAGATTTCAAAATAAAAGCCATAAACATGCTCACAGAGCTACACAAAAATATTCAAGATTTCAGGGAAGACTTCAACAAAGAGATAGAAAGTTTGAAAAATACAGTATCTGAAATGAAACATACAATGGAGGGATTTAAAAGTAGATTAGATGAGGCAGAGGAGACAGCAAATGAAAATGAAATTAAGAGAACAGGAAAACAGACTGAGGCACAGAGAGAAAAAAAAGATTTCTAGGAATGAAATAATAATAAGAAAGCTGTGTGACCAACCCAAACAGAATAATAGTCACATTATAGGGGTACCTACCAGAAGAAGAAGAGAGAGACAAAGGGATAGAAAGTCTCTTTGAGGAAATAATTGCTGAAAACTTCCCCAATCTGGGTAAGGAAATAGTCACACAGGTCATGGAAGTGCAGAGATCTCCCAACACTAGAAACCCAAGGAAAACAAAAAAAAAGACATATAATAATTAAAATGGCAAAGATCAAGGACAAGGAGAGAGTTTGAAAGCATCGAGAGAGAGGAAAAGGATCATTTATAAAGGAGACCCCATCAAGCTATCAGCAGAAACCTACAGGCCAGAAGGGAGGGGCATGATATATTTACACAATGAAACAGAAGGGCCTCCAACCAAGAATACTCTACCTGGCAAAGGTATCATTTAAAATTTGAAACCGGGATTAAGCAATTTGCAGATAAGCAAAAGTTGGGGGAATTCACCACCATCAAACCATTTCTACAAGTTATCCTAAAGGGAGTGCTCCAATTATCCAAAGGCTAAATAGCCATCACCAGAGAAAATAAACCCACAATAAAGGTAGTAGACCAATTAATTACTAAGCAAATATAAAATTAAATCAACTACTCACAAAGTCAGTCAAGGGATACACAAAGAGCACAGAATATGGCACCTTATAAAGAATGGAAAAGGAAGAAGAAGAAGGGGAGAGAAAAAAAAGAACCATTAGATTGTGTTTGAAAGAGAGTAATAAGTGAGTTAAGATAGACTGTTAGATAGTAAGGAAGCTGCCCTTGAACCTTTGTAACCACAAATCTAAGGCCTCCAATGGCAATAAGTACATAGCTATCAATAATTATCCTAAATATAAAATGGACTGAATGCACCAATCAAAAGACATAGAGTTGCAGAATGGATAAAAAACAAGACCTATCTATATGCTGCCTACAAGAGACTCATAGTACACAGACTAAAAGTGAAGGGATGGAAATAGATATTTCATGCAAATAATAGGGAGAAAAAAGCAGGAGTAGCAGTACTTATATCAGACAAAATAGATTTCAAAACAAAGAAGTTGACAAGAGACAGAGGGACATTACATAATGATAAAGGGGTCAGTCCAACATGAGGATATAACTGTTATAAATATCTATGCACCCAATATAAGAGCACCTAAATATGTGAAAGAAATACTTACAGAATCAAAGGGGGAAATAAAATGCAATGCATTCATTTTAGGATACTTCAACACACCACTCACACCAAAAGACAGATCAACCAGACAGAAAAAAAATTAGACAGAAGCACTGAACAACAACATTAGAACAGATGGACCTAACAGACATCTATGGAGAACACTCCACCCAACAGCAGCAGGATACACTTTCTTCTCAAGTGTACATGGAACATTTTCCAGAAAAGATCACATACTAGGCCATAAAAATAGCCTCAGTAAATTCAAAAAATTGAAATTGTGCCAACCAGCTTCTCAGACCACAAAGGTACGAAACTAGAAATAAATTATGCAAAGAAAACAAAAAAGCCCACAAATACATGGAGGCTTAACAACATGCTCTTAATCAATTGACCAATGACCAAATTAAAACAGATCAAGCAATATATGGAGACAAATGAAAACAACAACTCAACAGCCCAAAAAAAACCCATGAGATGCAGTGAAGGCAGTTCTGAGAGGAAAGTATATAGCAATACAGGCTTACCTCAGGAATCAAGAACTCTGGGTTTCCTAGACTACTTATCTGAAGACAGCCTCAATAGTCCATTAAACGTGCATCTTATTAAGATGAATGCTTGTTCCTGGCATGCTGTTTGCAGCACTACCAGCATTAGCATTGGCATACCTTTAGTCATCATTATAAGTTGAAACTGTTTAATCAAACATTAAATAATAACAGAAACACACGGATAAAGGACATTCAAACTGCAGAAAGCTTAGTTGGCACCTTCAGGCTCACTAGCTGAGAGTAAAGGAAATGACTTCATGTCATACATGATAGGCCTTGAGAAAAACACAGCTGCATTGTTTAGTATTACAGTGAACTCATATGCTTATATTTTTAATATAAAATTATTTCAAAATTAACAGGACTGTAATAAATCACCATTGCATGAGACCACTGTATAATGGAAACATACATGCATAAGAATTGCATTAACCATGCAAGTTCAAGTAATATTTCAGGTTATTTGTTTTCTAATTATTTTCAAATTGTGAAATAACATGAAATTATTGGGTAAAATGTTGATGACTTTTCAAAAATATTAAGTATGATCAAGAAGCTTGATCTGATAAAAATAATAAATAGTAAATAGTAGTAGTAAAGCCACCTTGCTCCCTGAGAGGTAAAAGGCAATTTTAAAAGCTATCAGAATGCTCAAAGAACACATGACAAATTTTTAAAGAAGAACAAATGACTTATTTCCCACCTCTATAAAGTATCAGCTATACACAGGTTTTGGGTTTTCCTTCCCTTATGCCTCTTTAGTTTTTACACGTTTGCAATCATGCTCTAAATAGGATACTTTGTAACCATTATCATGCCCTATCTATTTTATATATGCTATAGAATCTTTATCATTTGATTCTGATGTATTATTTAAAATGTAATTTTTCAACTAAACATCTTTAGATGTTCTTAGAATATCTAATAATTCTTACCCTGATTTCAAATTTGTATTCAACTTAATTCTTAATGCTTACCTGTGTTTAAAGAAAACAAAACAATAAACTAATACACTTCATGTCTTAAGCAACTGTAGGAAAACCTATTTCTGGTCCTTTCTGAAATGTAAATTGTCTATAGTCAAACAAAAAAGCTGCTTAGTTCAGAGACAGTATTACTAAATTCTAAAGACAATTCATGCTAACATAATGAGTAGCTTGAGAACGAACCCTGGAAATACATGAAAGAGCAGAAACCAACTCAAGGACTATGATTATTAAATTGCTCAAATATGTAATTATATCTAAAAATGTGGTTTTAAAAGAGCACAATAGTTTAAGACAATCAATTTTTACTTTATAAAATTCTTTCTTACAAAACCACAAGCTGAGGAAGTTATGAAGTAATATAAGATAATCTTACAGTTTGTGAAATTATTTACTGCAAGTTTCCATTTAATGGCAAGTCTGCTTAAGTGAGTTTGAAATATATGGCATAAAGGTTAAGTTGCTTCAAAGCATTTCGATAGTGTACCTAACAAAAATGAGCCAATCCTGTAAACCTGAGGATGTTGAAACTACAGACTCAACTATGAAGAATGGTTATTAATAGAAGGCAAGAAAAAAATACATTCAAAATTGAGCCATTGGCAAGAAAGTGACTCTCAGACAATTTCTAATTGTTTAGGAAAAAATTTTGAGAATGCTTCAAGGGACTCTAATAACACTTGTTACATGAAGGAAAAAATTTATACATTTAAATGTGTCCTACCGTTTGTACTTCCATATCACATTGTTCTTCCACATTTATGTCTTCCTCATGAACTGAGTTAGACTCATTTTCTTGTTTACTCTCTTCTTGGAACTCCTCACTGACTGCCGCATCCACATTCTTAATTCCCTCTTTGACACGTGGAGATACTGTGGAAGTATGTTCTTGCAATGATGTTGGAACAGGGTTTAGTGGTGTGACGTGATCATAATGAGTATGCAGGAGTCGTAGAGCAATGTCACTTGTTGCTAATATCCTTGGAATTTCAAATCCAGTTTGTGTTTCAGAGAATCTCACACTTCTGTACCTGTTAATAATTAATTTTAATAAAAAGGGTGAGACCCTGGGAAACCCCAGGTCTGTCATGAATTTATGCCTACGCAGTATTTCTCTCCATTTTAATTGCACCACAGTTTTTGGCTCCTGGCCCATATTTGCTTCCTTTGCAGCTTGTGGACCCTGTTGTCCTTTGCAAAGCACTCCTGGGATCCGGGACCCCGTACTCTTTCTCTTCTCCCCACCTCTGGCAGCTCCCTCTCTGTTTTCTCTTTATGGCCTTTTTCCTAACCAACCCTTAAACCCTGATATTACTCGGCTCCCCATCCTGGGCTTTATTTCTTCTTCTTCTGTCTACTCCCCTTGGGTACTGTTATTTCCATGGCATCAGGCATCTTTAACGTGAGCTCTGTTCCCTGGGGTGGGGCAGAGGAGAGAAGCATTCCTGAGTGGGCTTTAACGGGTTCCAAAAATGCCCTTAGGTATGTGTGAGCATATGTAATAAGGGACATAACATCCCAGAAAATTAAGAACTATTGAACAATATGCTAGTGAAGCCCCAAAGTATAACTCTGACTCATATTTCTCTCAATGTCTTCAGACAGTTGCACTGTGATGTTTTATGATAGTTCAAACAGAACAAGTCCGATACTGAACTCCATGCCTGCAGCCCGCCCTCACCATCACCACCAAAACAAAACTTGTTCTGCCTCCATTATTCCTTATCTAAGTAAAAGATACCATATAATTCTCTTCTTAAACCTGGGTAGCTAATACAGGTTTTACCTTTCATTTTACCTTTATTCTTTTAAAATCATACAAATTTCCTTCACTCTTCTGCATATATTTTGTAAGGAAAAATGTTATATTAATGCTTTGTCTCTGATTAGATTTAAACCACAGAGTAGTTTATAGCAAATGGAACCTGGAAAATATTTTGTTCTATCCTTTTACTAAATATCAAAAATAAAGTCCAGTTTTATTCCCCATTGACATATGACTAGTCTTTTCAGAGCTGGGACCAGAAACAGGCCTCCTAACTTTTATTCTGGTAATTTTTTTCCTAAAAATCACTGCCATACTAAATTACTTTGAAGTGTAAGATTAAACAGCAACCAAGTGATGTGAATTTATAATTATCATTATCATACCTCAGAAAAATGTTACTTTGTTGAAAATAGTTGAAGAAGTATCATTTAAATATCTAAAAAATATATACTTGAAAGCATTTTTTTTTGGAAGTACTATTTTTAACAGTTCACAAACACTTTTTTTAAAGTTTTAGATTGCCATATGGAAAACACCTACCACTTCTACTTTTCTGGGGAGAGGGAGATTAAGTGGGTAAAGAGTATATTTGTATTGTGTATATTTTTTTTCAGCACCATGCTATGACCTTTACATGCATTAATATTTAAGTCTCACTCCAATCCCAATAACTTAAATAACATAACCAGCAGTTTACTATGATATACTGAGGCTCAGCAGGGCTAAGCAACCTTGCCTAAGGTAAATGGCAGGCCTACAACTTAAACCCCAGTTGGCTGACCTCCTAAAATGGTTTTTTCCAGGCATGTCAGGCTGTCATGCAACAGGCATCTGCCTGGTCATGGTGACGTGATTCTAATGGTTTTCAACCTAAGTATCAACCATGGGGATACCTTGGATTCTTCTTGAGGTTTGCCCACATGTGTAGAGTAACGGTCTCATCCTGAATGATTTTCTCCATATTTCCACTGTCCAGATCTGCTAAAGTACTAGCTTGCTATAAGAGAAAAAAGAAAATATTAAAAGATTAGAGACCTCATAAATTATACAACCTAGATAGCTTATTTAATCATTTAGATGTTGGAGTCCCTTCATTACTTAAAAGAGTAATTTGAATAAAAATAAGGTTCAACCAAAGTAAAAAAGAATTGTTTTAAAAAATTCTCTGATACAAATATACTTAATTAAATACACTTATTCTTTTCCAGTTTCTTTAAAGATGCTTGAAGATTAGAGTTGCTCCTACATTCACAGGTAGCACTTGTGGATCACTATGTTATCCTTTTCAATTTTAATATTGCCATGACTTTCATTTTAATCGCACACATGCCTCTTTATCTGTACCTTATGAAAATGTAGCAAAAGTTAGCCTATTTCTGAACACATCAAGTTTAGAAAGCAAAATACCCAATTTATGGAATCCAGATGAGTCCTGAGTTTTACTAGTCCAATACTTGATATCCAACATTAAACATACAATTTAGGGACATTTGTAAGATTCTTTAACAAAGACTTACATAGCTTGATGCCTGTTGTTCAGGAAATTAGCTCTTTAAAAGGTCTTATGTAAATCAATACATGCAGACCTCAGAGATATTGTAGGTTCAGTTCCAGGCCACCTCAGTAAGGCAAATATCACAATAAAAGGAGTCAAATGAATTTTTTGGTTTATCGTTACATATAAGAGTTATGTTTATATTGTAGTCTATTAAAGTGTATGGTAGCATTATGTCTAAAAAACAATGTATGTATCGTAAATTAAAAAATACTTTATTGCTAAAATATGCTAACCATCATCTGAGTTTTCAGCAAGTTATAATCTTTTTGCTGGTAGAGGGTCTCGCCTTAGTGTTGACGGCTTTTGACTGATCAGGGTGGTGGTTGCTGAAGGTTGGGGTCGATGTGGTAATTTCTTAAAATAAGACAACAATGAAGTTTGCCACACCTATCGATTCTTTCTTTCATTTGAACACTTAGAGGCCTTAGGGTTATTAACTGGCTTAATTTCAATATTGTTGTGTCTCAGGAAATAGAAAAGTCAGAGGAGAGGGAGAGAGATGGGGAATGGCCAGTCTAAACAGAACACACAGATTTATCAATTAAACTATCTTATGTGGGCATGGTTCATGGCCTCCCAAAATAATTACAACAGTAACATCAAAGATCGCCCATCATAGATCAACATAACAAATATAATAATGAGAAAGTTTGAAATACTTCAAGAATTATCAAAATGTGACACTGAGACAGTAAGTGAGCAAACTGGAAAAATGGTGCTGGCAGACTTGCTTGACACAGGGTGGCCATAAACCTTCAATTTGTAAAAGACGATCTCCAGGAGGCACAACAGCTAAGTGCAATATAATGAGGTATGCCTGTATGCATTTGGTTGCTATAATGTAAAAACTTAAAAGTATTAGGGATTACATTTACTGCTAATTTTTAAAAAACCTGATTGTTCCCACACACTTTTTTGTTCCTGTGACATTAACTTTTTGAATTGTCCAGGATAGATGCCTTGTAGAACTGTTACACATTGCAGATTTATCTGATTGTCTCTCATGGATTTACTTAAACTTGCGCCTTTATTTGTTGTACACTGGAAACTATTTCTATGTAGGTTTAATTAGATTCAGATCAACCCTTTTCAGCAAGAGGGCATCACAGGTTATGCTGTGTTCTTCACAGTGCATCCTATCAGGAAGTATATGATGCCCCACTGAACAATACGGACTTGATTACTGGGTTAAGGTGGTGACTACCCACATCTCCCCCACTGCCAAGTACAGTCTTCCCCAATCAGTAAGTAATCTGAGGGTTAATACTGCGGCACTATGAGAATAACATGTTCTTTAATAACTTTCACCTAATTATTTAGATAGCCATTGATGACCCTTATTAATTATTACATTGGGGATTAGAAAATACTGATTTTCTAACTGACCATTCCTTCAACATTTATCAGATGGCATTCTTCTGTTAAGACTATTCTCTGCACCCCCTCGACCCTACTTTACCCCTTCCTTTTTGGACTATCACCATGTACTCATGGATTTTTATTTATTCAGTGTGCTATAATCTATTACAGTCATTATTCTTTTTGATATTCAAATTATCCCAAATTAGACCAGTGAGCCTCTTTAAGCTACTCCTGTCACTTTAGGCTTTGAACATTTATTTGCTTCCTGGCACAAGATAACTCAAACCTCATCTTTAACTTTTCCTTCCCCAAGCCTGGAATCAGCAATGTATCCCAATTACATCTGGTTCCTTTTTATGGAATAAGAAGAAATCTGGGTCATACTGCTATTTTCATTCCAAATTCAACATTACAGAATGTTTTTCTAATCTTTTCTATACTGTATCTTTTTTCTCTTCAAATAAAAATCTTGATTACACATACTTATAATACACTTCCTTTCTTGCTTTTTCTCATTAATAAGAGTTCTAAAATTATAATATGACTATTACTGCTAAGAATAACTTTGTGAAGTTTAAGCCTTCGTTGAAGTATTTTGCAATTAGAACACGTCCTTCCAATGCTTTACACAGCACTAGACCAAAGAAACCAAGAGACAAAATAGCCAAAAGAAATGTGTGGCCTTAAATTGTTTCTGATTAAAAAAAATAAGTCATCTACAGAAGATATTCATTCATATTAGGGAAAATTTAAATATGGGCTGGATGTTAGAATATACCATGGAATCATTACTAATTTTCTTTGGTATAATAATGACTTTATAGTTATTTGGTTATTATCATTAGTGCTAAGTACTTGGGGAAAACAGAATGACTACCAATAATTATAATCTTGTGTCAATTTATCTACAGTGAATATCTAACATGTAATGTTTCATGAATTTATTTTCATAGTGAGCCTAGTAAGCCTTATCAAGTATAAGAAAAAAAACTAGTATTGATAGTGTTTTCTTTCTTTAAAAATGAAATACAGTTGTTAAATCTGGGTAAGTCTATGGGCCTTAACTTATTCTACTAACTTTTCCACAACCTATTAACTTAAAGATACTGTATTTTAAAAATTATATAGCATAAAATTTGAACATTATAAAAGTTAATAATAATACATAAGCAAAGCATCACACTTACTCTGAGAAGTATTTCTGTGGCTTTGTTAAACTTAAGATGAAGGAGCTCCTGCAGTTCTAGAATCAATCCTTGGTACTGTGTATTTTTACTTTGGAAGTCATATAGTGTAGTTTCCAGTAAAGTTAATTTCAATTTATCAATTAACTATAAAGTAAAAGCATAAAGTAAAAATCTGTAACAGTGAATTAATCTTCTGACAAATAGTCAAAGAAAAAGTGAAAAGGAGGATGTTCTATCACTTTTAAATGGAGGAACACAGCATCGGTAAAACATAAAAATCCTTTCCTGCATTTATTCTATTATTTAAGATCATGGGAAAATATAGTTCCTCCAAACACTCCATTCAGAAGAATTCTCAGCTGTGTGTCACAGAGCTTCCACCAGCCAAGCTGGTAGACAAGGAGCCTGTCACTTCCTAAGCCCGGAATAATGGGAATCACAGCAATATGGCAACAACAGGGAGGAGGAGGTGGGGGGAAGAGGAGGAGAGAATCCCTAATCCTTACCGAATGCTTACTATGTGCCAGGACCTATTCTAAACACTTCATATGCTTTAACTCTTTCCATCTGCATCACAACTCTATGAGGTAGACGCTGTTATTGTGCCTGTTTTACAGATGAGGAAATCTGAGGCAATCCTGTTCCACCTGTAGGAGCTTCCAAGACTCCTGTGGGGAAGTTGGGGTTCCTGTGGCCAGGATCCTCACTGAACCTAAACCACCTGATGATGTAACTGGCCCATTGCTAGGCTACAGCTTCCACACCTTTAGGCTGGAAGCTGTTTTTGCGCTATGTAGAGAGCTCGGCCCAGTGCTCTGGGCGGAGGTAGGGGTGCTAGTGCTCGACCTACCATTGGGAAATAAACCCTTTCACCCCAAAGAACGTTTTGCTGTCAGTTTCTTTGGTCACATTGAATCCATAGCGATCTTGCCTGGGGCTGAAACCCATTGGCAAGACAACTCGTCCTCACAAGTAAAAAGCTGACCACACTGAAAATCTACTCTTCTTTGATCCATAAGAGAGGAGATGCTACAGGGCAAGCCCTGCCCCCAAGAATGGAGAGAAAGGTAAATAAATAGAGGAGTCAGTCGTCTTAGCAGAGCAGGGACCCAGGAGCAGAAACCACTGCTGGAACCAGAGCTGGGTAGGGACAGCCTGACTGTAAAAGAAATGACAAACCTCTGCAGGCTCGGTGTGGACAAGTCAGAGTTAGAGACTCCAGGAGGAGGCAGTGCTATGAGATTCACCACCAGGAGCCGGACCAGGTTCTCACGATAAATATGGGGGAAAAAACCCTAGTGCTTCTGGCAGGGGCGGGGAAAAGGAAGCTGTGGGAAACGGGCCAAAGCGCTCTGTTCTCAGCAGGGCCGGATCGCAGGGGAAACAAATCAGCTGGAGTCTAGCCTGCTGGAGTTTTCTCAGAGCCTAATTCACCTGGGGGAAAAGAAACACCCAACTGCAGCTGGCTCTAGTCATCCCCCCCCACCACCCCACTAGGAGGGGATAAGGAAAGGGAAGAACACTTGTGAAGGTCACTGTCCGGAGGCGCAGGCTCACCAGGAGGCTGGGACCCAATCCCGGGGCTGCAGAAGCACGCCCTGCCGCCACCCTACCAACGGCCACACTCCCGAGGGCCTATTTGCAGCAGTCCCTTCTACCCAGGATATCACAGCTGGCTATCGAGAAAAAAATTAGAAGGCATAGCAAAGGCAAAGCACCCAAGGGACAGAGCAGGCATCAGAAGCAGACATGCAGCAATGTTGGAACTGACAGACTGAGAGCTCAACACACCTGTGATGAATAGGCTACGGGCGCTAATGGATAAGCAGACAAGCCTGAAGAACAGAAGGGCATTGTGGGTGGAGAGGTGGAAATCCTTAGAGGGAAGCAAAAAGAAATACTAGAAATCAAAACGTTGTAACAGAAATGAAGGACGCCTGTGTTGGGCTAATTAGCAGATGGGACTCGGCTGATAAAGCCCCTGAAAACCAAAAAACAAAGACAATAAAGACTGAAAAGAGGGAAAGAACAGAATATCCCAGGACTATGGGACAACTGGGAAAAGTGTAACATACACATAGTGGGAACGCCGGAAGGTGAGGAGAGAAAGGAGAGGAAGAAACACTTGGAAATTCCTCCAGTTAAGGCCAGACAGCGCGCCGCACGTCAGGGGCGCAGAGAGCGCCAAGCAGGGAAGATGCTCAACAAAATGTCCACTGAGGCTCATCATTTTCCAACTCCAGAAAGTCAGAGGTGAAGAAAAACTCCTGACAGAAGCCAGACAAAAAAAAAAAAATCTTACTTTGGAGGGACAAAATTAAGAATTACATCCAACTTCTCAGAAACCATGCCAGCAAGAAGAGAGCGGAGAGAGATTTAAAGTGTTGGGAGAAACTGAGGCACAGTGTGATCAAGGAATCTGATGAACTATTATTAGTTACTAAGTGGCAGAGTTTAGCTGGCAGCACTGACATGGATACTACATGGAAAATTTCTAAATTGAGAGGCAGCATAGCAGTGCAGGGTAACATGGAAACAAGCCAGCACGCTGGGCTTCAGTCTCAGCCGACTCTTACTAGCAATGTGACCTTGGGTGAGTTACTTAACATCTCTGTGCCTCGGCTTCTTCACTTGTAAAATGGGGATAGTGGCGCCTACCTCACAAGTTATTATGAGAATTTAGGAAGTTACTATTTCTAAAACCTGGCATGGTAAGCCTAACATAGGAGTTTGTTAAATAAATAAACTCGATACCTTGGAAGCTGGCATTTGCCATGGGGTCTCCTCTTCCGTCTCCTGTTTTCCCTACTGTAGTTTATTACTTCTGCCTCTGTACCCCACATTCATGACAGGAGGGTGTCCCTTCCAGCTCATCACTGGTGACCTCTCGTGCTTCTGCCCGTTGCCTCCCTGCTAACCTGCAGAACCCCAGGTTCCTGGACTAGCACCAGGTGTGGCAGCATCCCTGGCAGAGAGGATGCTCAAGGGCAAGAACACTGCATGATGAAGCCACTGGTGTCCAGATATCTCACCCAGTGTGTGGGAGGCTCCTTGGAGCCTTGGAAAGTCAGAGCAAGGCCCATCTAAGGTCTCACAGGGGACTGAAAGCAGGTCACAGTCTATGCTTGTGTAAAACCAGTCTCGGAAGCTTGTTGTCCACATTGAATCAGGCAGTGCGGGTTAGGAGCTTGCAGAGGCTGAAGTTACTCCGTTTTAAAGCAACATGGAGATGAAGTAACCCACATGGCAAAAGCACAAAAATGTGGCGGGGAATTGGAATAAGAAGCATTCGAGAATAACAGGACAGAGAGGAGTGAATTTTTTCTAGTTTCTACTACTAGGGAGGTATGTCTAAGTGTGGATTTCTTTCTATTTATCCTAAACTGGGATTTGTTGGGTTCTTGAATCTCAGTTCTGGAAGATTGTTAGTCATTATCTCTTCGGATACTGTCTGTCCCTCATTCTTCTCTATCTCCTTCTCATACACCTTTTCAATATATTTTTAGCCCTTCTTGCTCTGTCATGCATGTCTGTAAACCACTCATTCATATTTTCCATCTTTTTATCTCTCCGTGCTGTCTTCTGGGAAATTCTTCCAAACAACTTTTGACTCACTTGGGATTAAGAATTCTCAGTAGAGACTAGGTTTAAGAAAAGCCAAACAAGTCTTCGTCCTCTCTCTTGGCTGAATAATTTTTTCCGCCTATTATCCACAATACCTTTTGGAGGCTCCCAGCCACAGAGAGTGTCTCTGATCCACTGGCCGCCTTGCATATGCCAGAGGCTTTGCCTCCTCATGGCCCTTTAAACCAATGCCAAACCACCCGATGTCAACAGATAGATACTCTCTGGGAAGCTACTGAATTCAAGACTTGCCACCTTTTCTGAATTGTTTTATTCAGAAAATAAATATGATCTTCCATCACTTTCTTTTGAGCTAGGCAATGGATTTAAATGTCATTTAAATAATTTTTTTCTAGCATTTTTAAGTGCATTTGGAAAGTGGTAGCTCCGCAGGCTACCCAATCCATCCTAATTGCAGAAGTTGAAGAATAGGGTATTCTTACTCATCTTTGTACTTCCAGTGCCTAAAAGAGTAGGTTCCTGGCACATAGTTAACATTAAAAAACATGTGTACTGAATCACTGAAGAGTGGATAATTGCAGCTGAGAACAAAATCATAAACTTTCCCCCCACCCAGTTATCTACAAAAATGGTCACAGACACAGCTTGATTTTTTTTTTTTGGCTTGAATTAGAAACATATACAGTTGAAGTTTCACATTTATCTTATGTTGACCTTACTAAGGTGGCAAGAGATTTTTTAGGAGTTGTAACAATAAAACAGAATATGAAAAGATTATCAAGTATTTTTCTCCATAACCAAGGAAGCAGTAGTGTTATTAATTGGCAAATACTATATTTACTCAGTTAAGTGCTATTTTTTGAGTCAATATTGTCAATACCAGACAACTCATAACTAGTTATTTGAGATCTTGCTAAATTAACCAAATTCCTCTTCATCAAAATAATTGATAGCCTCAGTATCTACTTACTGTCATATTTTTATTTTTAAAACAGTATGAATTGGTTTTGCTTAGCATTCTTCTCTAATCATATAGTGATATTTACAAAAGCCATGCGGGCTAATTTCTACTTCTCAAATAATAATTTGAAATTATAGAATAATACCTAGGTACTTACTCTTAGCACTAGTTTACTCTTCACAATCACTTTCTCAAAAGTCTCATTTGTTTCCTCTTTCCACAAACTAACAAAAGTATTAATTTCTTGGGATACTGAAGGATCAGGGCTCCCATCACATTGAACGTAGTGTTCCCACTGTGGAATACAAATATTTGAAGGTTCACACTGATGAAAATTCAACCAAAGGTTAAATTACTTCTTTTTGACATATTTTCAAGTGTTTTGAAGTAGGTGTCATAACCTAGTTTTCCAAACTAGGCAAAAAACATATGACTTTAACTAGTTACTTAAGATATTGTTAAATTAACCAATTTCCTCTTCATCAAAGTAATTCATAAGTCTCATTAATTCAAATTAATAGAAATTCTACTTACTGTCATTTTTTTAAAAAACAGTATCAGCTGGCTTTGTTTAAAAGCTTTCTTCTCTAATCATATAGCTATATACAAAAGCCACACAGGCCTATTTCTACTTCTCAAATTATTACTCAGGTTACTCTCATATTACTATTTACTAACTGCTAGTGGCATATTAATATGAGTCCTTCCATTCACTTTGTGGTCTGTACAACTCCTACATTTGTAGTCATATTGTACTTAAAATTTTTTGCTTAAAATTATATCATAATCATCTGGCCATAATATTACAGTTTTCCCTTTTCTCCTGATAATCACCTATATCATTTCCAAAGTTACGCTGTTTTGAGCAAGATGGATTGTCTTAAACTCAGAGTTTTTCTATTTTAATTTAGGATAATATTCAGTATAGATTCCCCAAAATTAAATCAAAGCATAAAAATTTCAAGGATGTTATTGACAAATAGTTATCTACAAAGCTGTATGAATTTACTTTGCTACAAGCAATAGGAGAGAGCTTTGTCAGATTAGAGATATTTTATAGAGAAACTTTAATTTGGGAGGTTAAAAATTAGGATATCAGACTATAATTCCTTCTTGTGCTAAAGAAGTATTAGCTAAAAGTAAAAAAGTCTTACCTGAGAAAGCAATCTAGTTTCTCGTTTCAGTTTCTCTGCTTCAAGAAAACACCCCTCTAAGGAATAAAGTTCTTCAAGTTCTTCATTTCTCCTTTCTAGATGCTATTGCATGGGGAGAGATACACTGTGTTTGTGTTTCACAAGGAGTATCATCTAAAATTTACTTGGCAAAGTAGTAGTTTCAAAATGAATACTAAAATGAGTTTGACTACATGTGGCATTTCCAAGGTTTCAACTGAAAATGATTTGCAGAGTGTGATTTGCAGACTTCGGGTGGGTCCCCAAGACTCTTTCAGGATCTGTGAGGTCAAATCTACTTTCATAAGAATACTAAAACATTATTAGCCTTTTCTGTAGTGTATGCATTTGCACTGATGGTAAAACTGATTGTGCAAGCCGGTGTAAAACTGCTTGCACCTCAGCACAAATCAAGGCATGAACTGCAGTTGTTGTCATATTCTTTGGGGAGGAGGGTGATAAACAGCCAGTTTTGCACAAGAATGACCTGTTGAATAAGTGGAAATCATTAATTTTATTAAATATTAACTCTTAAGTATGTCTTTTTATATTCTGTGTGATAAAGTGAGAATAAGCATAAAGCACATCTGCTACATATCAAAGGACAATACTTTCTTGAGAAATAAACACTCGTACAATTATCTGACTATTTTGGCAGACAGTCTCTGAAGAATGAATGAATTGAACATGTCCCTTCCAGCAAATGACTCAAAGTATTTGTTATCAATGACAAAATGAAAGCTTTCAAGTAGGATTTTGAATTTTGGAAAACTTGAATCTACCAGTGTGAGCTTGGCCGTTCTCAATCCTCAAAAACTTTCCTAATTTGATTGGAGATATTAATACATGTGAGTTCTTTGAAAATAAACAAAACATGTCAACATTTGGAAGCAAATAATTCAGTGAACCAAAATTTTTCAAGCAACCAATGCATAATGTTGAAAATCATGCATGGATACAAGATCTATTTAAAGTGTAAGACATCAATATTTTAGTGTAACAAAGTATGAAAAGTTCATTGATATGGCTTCAGATCCACGTTAAGAAACGATCACTTATTGAGTTTGGGTACAGTATCAAAGAACAACATCCACAATTATCTGAAAGGCTATTACAATATTCCTTTTTCCAACTATATGTTTGTGTGAAGCCAGATTTTCTTCATATATTTCAATCAAACACCACATTATAAAAGATGGAATACTGAAGCAGGTATGAGAATCCAGTTGTCTTCCAAGTCAAACATTAGAGATTTAGAAAATATAAACAAAGCCATTCATTTCCCTAATTTAAAAAATAATTTATTAATAGCTTACTGTAACTCTTCACAACATATAAAAACATCAAATTATTAAGCTGTACACCTAAAACTAATATAGTGTTATATGTCAATTATATTTTACACATATAATTATATATAGTTGTTTTCTTTCTTAAAGATGTTAATGTGTTTATTTTTAGTAATGTTTAACAAAGTTTAATGTCTATTAATATAATAAATGTTTTTTAATTTCTCAGTTTTAATTTCTAACATGGTCAATACTGGTAGATATAGCTTACATAAACAAAAGCTCCTTGGGAATCTTCAATTTTTAATGAGGTTTTGTCCTAGCATCAAAATATTTCAGAACTATTGCTCTGAAAAATTCTGATGAAAGGGAGAAGTGAAACTGAAAATGGAGAGGTAGAATTTGAATTTTTTTTAGTCCTTGATATTGGAAAGTAATAACTTAATGGTTATAAGCATGTGCTCTCAAGCAAGACTTCTTATGTCTAAGTCCTAACTGCAACTTATTTGCAGCTTCATTTCTCTGTTACTCAAATTCCTTATCTGTGAAATGTGGATAATAATATCTCACTAACCTTAGGGTGAGATTAAATGAGTTAAACCAGTTCATAAAGGCCTAAAATATTATTGGTAGCTATGGGAGAGAATGACATTAAATGGCCAAATGACTAGATAGCCACATATTTTGTCTTCATTTACTTTTGCTTCAAGTTGCTGCCATTTTTCATTCTCAATTCGTTGTATTTCAAGTCTTTCCATTTCTTCTTTTTCATGTTTTAGACGGGCTTCCTCTAAAGAACCAAAACAATTTTGTCTCAGTGATTAAATCAATCTGGTTGTAAGCTCTTAAGTTACTTCAAATATTTTCAAGATGTAGTGATGGTGGAATGTTTTATAGAAATCACAACATTTATTATGTGGCAGAAATAAGAAAAATGCCAGATTTCTTTCACAAAGTAACATGATTCAATCTTTCCGGCCAAAAGGACTCACAATGACATTTCTCTTCTCCAAAAAGCTTATAGCATTCCAATAATGACTTCAATCAATAAAAAAATTACAGATCTATCATGGGCAATTAAGAGAGGTAAACCCTCCAGAAGATTTCCATTATCTTGTGACATTTACATCATCAGAAGCAATTATTTTGATTCTCTCTTGCTTTCAATATTAAAAACAAAATATGAAATATATGTTGAAGAATATGAGTTTAATCCAATATAAAACATTCTCCAAGATCTAGATCCTAATATTGTATTATCATCATGGGTCACCTTAAAAGGATTTATTTAAGTATACATAAAAAAATCAATATGGAACCTGAGGACAGACTTTTAAAACCTGAATATGAATCCACAGATGTTCTTAGTGCTAAAAACTAAACCACTTGAAATATTCAGATTTTTTAAATCTCTTTTTTGGATTTTTAAATAACCAATTTTTTAAAATTTTAGCTGACATTTTTTAACAAATGACAGTCTTTAATTTTGGCAAACAAATGTTATTAAATTATAAGAACTTAGGCTGTTGTATCTCTTGTGTATATTTCCTATATTTAATTGAGTTTCAGAATTCTTATTGTACTCCATATTTCATCAGTAAACATAAATACTTCAAGGGTTGTGAGAATTAGAAAATAAAAATACATGGTGCTCAGCTGAATTTGAATACCGGATAAATAATGGACTTGTTAAACTTGGATTAAGGAAGTCCCAAATATTACACAAAGCAAATTGTCCTAAATTATCCATTGGTTATCTTAAATTCAGATTTAACTGGGCCTCCTGTATCTTACCTGGAAACTAACTCCAGGGTCTATCTGGAAGTTGACTGGTGTGTATTAACAGAATTTTCTGGGTACCCTTTGAATAGTAGGTATTTTTTTAATTCTTTAAGAAAATATCCACTGGAATACAGAAATATCAACCAATCGTTAGTACTATCTGCATAGGAAAATAGTATTTCTGTGTATTTTGTACCTTCCTCTTTTTCTCGTCTCTCCTCTTCCTCTTGTAGCCGCTTCAATCGTTCAGCTTTGCTGATCTTTTTCTTACCACCAGACTTAACAAAGGTCACGACATAAAACAAGGCCATTAACATGCATCTAAATTATTTAAAAACATATATAACACAAATAGTCATGAAAACACTTTTCATAACTATTGTGGCCAAGAAAGACTTGGCCAATCTCTCACTCATTCAAGTAAGACTGCTCACTATGCTGACTTAACTCAATGCGCTGAGGAGTAAGTACGGAAACAAGAAAAACAAGCGTATAAATGATTCAGTGGTAACAATGACTGTACCAAGTATATACAGTTTAAATAATTCTCTCTTTCCCAGTTTCCACATTTTCAAAATGGTGCTAAATAAAACCTCCTTTCACTGCTGTAAGGGTTAAAACAAATGTAAAAACAGTTTTCATATACTGCCAGCTGTCACAAAATATTTTTATTACTAATAGACATATAAAGTTATATTGCAAATTTAGAGGAAAGAGATCTTTTTCAAGAGTTGGGATCAAGTAAAATTTTTATAGAGCAGGTACTATTTAAGTTTGTGCCCCCCAAATTTTAACATTCCAATATGAGGGGAAGAAATCCCAAGAGGAGGGAAATGCAGGCATAAGATACAGGGTGGAAAGGCCCACATGTTCCGTGTAGCCTGAGAAGGCTCCAAGAAGAGGTGAAATGGAAATGAGCATGGAAAGTAGGCTGGAGCCTATGCTATAGGGTTTGGACATGATTCTAAAAGAACTGGAAATCCCCTTAAATTTTTTGAGAAGGGCTGTGGCTATTAAAAACATAATTTTGAAAAGTAACATGGTATTAGAGGAAAAAAATGACTATAAAGAGGATACTATTTTGGTGACTATTAACACAAGTTAATAAAGTTATGACAATGGAAATGCAGAAAGAAGAATGGGTCCAATAAATGTTTTATAAGATGACTTATTTGATTAGATTGCACCTGGAAGCAAGAAGAGAGGAAGGGGTCAGAGAAGAGTCAAAAGAACGGTGTCCGGAACAAGCGTATTTGAAAGAGAAACTGTTTGAAGGAGTTTAAATATGATTAGCATGAAGTGTTAGTGGAGCATCCAGGCAACGATTGCAGGCGTTGGAATTGGAGAGCTGCGGTTGAGCAAGGCGATCAGGGCTTCAGAAGACGGATCTGAGAACTGACTGGGCGATGACCACGTGCCCATTCTCCCTGTGCATACAGAAGCGTACCATTTACGCGTAGGGCTCAACATGAGCAACCCTTGTAATAAACGAACTCCTGGATGACCATCTTCTCTTTGCTCACCTGCTTCAGGAAGCCCCACTGAAATCTCCAGTCCATTGGCCCTGCCACTTTGCACTGTTCATCAACCCCTCATACGTCACTTCTTCCTTTCCCAGGTTAGATTTCATCACCAAATTCACTAATTTACATATCTCCGCCTCCACTATTTTTCCTTTCCCTCTGAGAAGCTCAGCTGGCAAATTCCTAGTTTTAGTTAAAGTCAACTCTCCATTTATTCTGTGCTAGCAATATGAGCAGCTGAACCTTGCCAGAGAAAAATACAAGTGCTCAAATTTATGAACACAAACTTTAAATAGGCTTTTAGCCCCATAGAGCATCCCAACTACTATTTCATTCTCTTCACTCTTCAAATCTCCAAAACTCCTCTCCACTGTCCTACTCTTACCTGTTGACCTTACCTCTTACATCACTAGAAACTTTGGAGAGAGAATAATCTTTACACACCAAGTCTTTGAACCTCCGTGTATCTTTGTCTGCCTTCCTACCCATTTAGAGTGGAGGTACCTTCTGCTATTTAAGGCTGAACCTGCCACTTCTACACTGGACCCCAACCCTTATTAACCCTACTTAAGACTTGGCTCCTGTAGTTAACACCTCTAGTTATTTATTAATTTCTCTCTCTGTGGATTTCAAATCCTTTTCCATCTTTTGCTACAATTCTGTTACCCTTTTATAGCAGACCACCTGAAAGGAATTACCCATTGCTTCCACTTTCTCATTTTCTGCACAGCCCACTCCAAGCGGTCTTTCCTTTCCATTGCTCCATTAAACCCTCTCTCATTAAGGGACCTTAAAATGCCATGTTTCCAATGCCATTGGTCAATTCTCAGTCCTCATTTTACTCATCTGACACCATCATTCGACAAGGTTTTTTTCCTTCTTGAAATATTTCCTTCACCAGACCTTCAGGTTTGTTCTGATTTTGCTGCTTGTCTCCCAGGTCCCTCTTTCTCAGACTTTTCTGGCCTTTCCTCCAGTTTTAGCTGTAGTTGATCAGTAACTTTTGAAATTATTTGCTCACATATTCCCTAAAAGAATTTTGAAAAATTGTATGTCCCTTCACACATTTTAAATTGACATTGAAAACTTTTCATCACAAGCTTAAGTAGATGAAAATGTTGTTCCTTCTGGTATATGATACATAAAGCTTTTACATCACTCCTTTATTTAAAATATATCCAATGGTATCTATATATCATAGTGATTTAATGGCCAATATCATCAAGTTTTAAAAATGTGAACAAGCTTTTAATAAAATTTTAATCCTTTTCCTCTTTGAACTCATATTTCCATTCTACTTCCCTCACAGAATCTTATCCTAATGGTATATCCATGAAAACCTTTTGTTTATCCTATATTTATCTGTCACAAGAATCTATATAAAAAAATTAATATTTTTAGTTCTTTACCTTTAAGCTTCTAAGTAATGAAAATTTTGCTCTGGATTGAGTTAATCTTATAATTATTTTCAGTATACAACACAAAGCAACATATAGCATTACAAATTTTGATAAGTAAATATTAAACATAAAAAGTAATCTTTTGCTGGATATGTATCTCTTGATGAGAATGGTTGGCTTTTTTTTTTTTCTTGGTTAGGTCATGATCCATGGACAATTGTTCACTATTGACGAATGAACAAGGATTCAAATGAAATCTATTTTAATTTTTAATTTTTACAAATATAAGAAATGAGAGATCCAGCTTCTATTAAAAGCCAATGGGAGTAGGCTTGTTACACCTGCATCATGCAGTTATTTGAATTCTTTCCAGATCGTGTGCTAAAAATTATACTGATTTACAAAAAAGAATTACCCCTAGAGAAAATTGTTGATGCTTGTGATGGTTGTTTGCTTTTCTCTAATTTATTACAAAGGTATGTATTCCAAAATAATATAGTTTGCTTATTTTTAACTTTACATAAACCCAATTATACTTTATGTATACATTTGTAATGGACTTCTTAATGTAGCAAAGTATACAAAACATAAATTTACCATTTTAACCATTTTTAAATGTGCACTGCAGTTCAGGAGCATTAAATACACTCACATTTTTATACAACCATCCCTACCACCCTTCTCCAGAACGTTTCATCTCCCAAAATGACATTCTGTATCCATTAAACATTAACTCCTCCTTCTTCCCCAGCTCCAGCTCCTGTCAACCACCGTTCAACTCTCCGTCTCTGAGTTTGAGTACTCCAGATATTTCATATAATTAGAATACTACAATATTTGTCCTTCTGGGAGATTTACTTCTTTATACACTGTGGTGTTTGTAAGATTCATCCATGTAATGGATACAGCTGTAGCTGTATGTTTTCACTGTAGACTAGTAACTCATTAATTTGTCCATTCTCCTACTGATAGGCACCAGATGGTTTCTAGTTTGTTACTATCATGAATAATGTTGCTCTAAGCCTTCAAGTGTATGTACCCTGGTGTCCATTTGCAAGAGTTTCTCTACGGTGTTTACCTAGGAGTATAACTGGTAGGTATGTGCATTTTCAATGTTAACGAACTTCCAAAGTAATTATTCTAATTTATACTCCCATAATCATTACCCAAATCAATATCTGTTAACTTCAGTACTTTGCTTCTCTCGTAGTTTTTGTTTTTGTTTAGTTTTGTTTAATATAGATACCTTTAACAGGCTAAGGAAATGCCCTTCAACCTGTTACATGTGAAATTACAGTAATTGAATTTCTAGCTTAACCTAATTGTATTCATTTAGTTTCTTATATTAAACCAATTCTGCCTTCCTGGAATAAACTAAATTGGTCATTATTTATTATCATTCTATATACTTCCAAATTAAGCTTGGTAACATTTTGTTTACAGATTTTGTATTTATGAATGGGCTTCAATTTTCCTTTCTCATACTATTCTCAGACTATCCAGCTAACTCAAAATGAATTATGAGTGTTCCTTTTTCATGTTCTGGAAGAGTTTTTATAAAAATGAAATTATTTATCTCTAAATTAAGAACTAGCTAACATAGACTTGTAGACCTAGAATTTTCTTTCTGGTAAGATTTTTACCACTGATTTAATTTCTTAAATGACTATAGGGCTGTTAAACGTTTTCTACTCCATCATGAAAAGGACTAAGTTTTTTTTTTCTGGCTATTTGTCTAGTTCATCTTAACTTTCTAATTTACTGACATAAAATAATAATAACATAAAATGTCATTTATTGTTAAAGTCATGTATCTCTTTTCATTCCTAATATTATTTATGCCTCTCATTCTTCTTGAAAAAATTACTAGAGAATTGTCAATTTTATCAATATTTTCAAAGAAATAAATTGTGGACTGTTCATTCAATAAAATATTCATTTAATGAAAATATTGAATGTCTAAGATTTGTCAGGCATTTGATATATACCAGTAAACAAATTAATACAGCTAGCCTACTGAACATCAAAGTTTAACCTAGCTACCTTAAATGTGCTCAGAATACCTACATTAGCCTACAGCTGGATAAAATCATCTAACACAAAACCTATTTTATAAACTGTCAAATATCTCATGTTATTTATTGCATAGTGTACTGAAAGTGAAAACATAATGGGTGTAGGAATAGAGAATGGTTTTACATGTTACTTACCCTCATGATTGTATAGTGGACTAGGAACTGTGCCTCCCTGCCCCATATCACAAGAAATATATCAGACTACATACATATCACTAACCACAGAAAAGATCAAAATTCTAAGTATAGCTTTTAATGAACATATATTGCTTTTGCATCA